ATATATATGTATACGTACCTATGTACGTCTGTATAGATGTATAATTGTATCTATATATATATATATACACATGAAGATACATATGTATATATATATATATGTATATGTATATGTATATGTGTATGTATATGTGTATGTATATGTATGTATATGTGTGTCTGTGTATCTGTATGTGTATGCTGTATGTGTGTATAAATGATATACTGTATGTAAGGAGATAAAACGGGTAGCTAAAGACAGCTTGGGCAGGTTGACAGAGAAGCAGACGGATAACATAGGATAAGATGGGCGGACAAATACATGTGTGAATTTTGTCTACGGTCTGCACGTGAATACACACCCCGGCCGGATCCTCGTAATCAGGATCCCAAAAGAAAGGGACCGCTACCCCTTAAACACTCCTTCCCAGCCATGATCCAAGTCCAAGCGGCGTTGAGGAGATGTGTAGGAGCATGGGAAGCCGTCCTGGCTCTCGAAGCTTGAGGTTTATCCACTCATTCCACTTGCCTGAATGTCGCAGAAAAAATGGTTGGCTGGGTCCTGCAAGGTGTTGTGGCTTACGGGGTGTCGTGTGTTGCTTCTTGTCTGGATTCTTCGCTTCGCATTCTGTGCCAGCGCGGCAGCCCTGGCTGTGGCATAGGCATCAGCCCTCCGGTTTCCAAACCACTTCAATAATAAGACAATGACCTTCAAGCCTACATTTGCAGCACGTTTTAGGCATGCAAACTGGCCGGCGCTGCTCACCGCCAGTTCATCAGCGAACCTCATCGCGGCTCTGACAGCTGCCGATGCATCGATCTCCCATCTCCAGGCAACTGGGCCTCCAAGTGGCCCAAAAACTCATCAGGCCTCAAGGTTGCACGGCAACTTTCGGAACTGACTCAGCATTGCGATGAGCGGTGTGCATAATCACGAGAAGCATTACGCTGCGAAGGATGCGGCGGCCTCAAATCTTAAACCCTTACGCCTGCAACCATGGCAAGCCCCTCGCCCCAAAATCCTTACCCCTTAAAGGCTTAATATCCTGAAACCCTTGAGCCATTAAAAGGTACCCCTTGACACCCAACCCCAAAAACCAGTTCAGGCAGCGGCAGAGCGAAGTTGGATGGGCACAAACCACCAGGTCGCCTTCGCGCAGAGGCCTTGGAAACTTCCTTTCTGACTCTGACGGGTGGGAATGGGAACTTCATTATCTAAAACGGTTTTCGGCATCATCAGCGCTACAATATATAATCTCAGTAACACTGTTTTCGTTGCTACTCGCGGTTGCAGTAGTGGTGATGGTGGTGGTAGTAATGGTAGTAGCAGCAGCAGCAGCAGCAGCAGCAGCAGCAGCAGCAGCAGCAGCAGCAGCAGCAGCAATCATCTTTGATGCTGTTTCTACTCTTATTGCTGCGGCGTCGAGACTGGAAATAGAGGAAGCAGGGTGACGCATGCTTCTGGTGCCACCAGCCTGCCTTCTTAGATAAGCTTTCACGGCTCAGAAAGCATACGAACACGGTGTCAGACTGTCGAAGCTAGATGGCTAGTTAGATAGTTAGATAGGTAGACAGCAAGATACATGAATAGAGCGATAGATGGATGGACGCATGGATGGATGGAGGGAGATGGATGGATCATGGATGGATGGATGCATGGATGGATGGATGGATGGATGGATGGATGGATGGATGGATGGATGGATGGATGGATGGATGGATGGATGGATGGACGGATAGATACAGAGATACGTAGATAGATGGATAGAAGATAGATACAGAGATAGAGCGAGAGAGAGATAGAGAGAAAGAGGAGAGAGAGCGAGAGACAGAGAGCGAGGGAGACAGACAGAGAGAGACAAAGCGAGAGAGAGAGAGAGAGACAGAGAGAGACAAAGAGAGACAAAGAGAGAGAGAGAGAGACAAAGAGAGAGAGAGAGAGACAAAGAGAGAGAGAGAGACAAAGAGAGAGAGAGAGAGAGACAGAGAGAGAGAGCGACAGAGAGAGAGAGAGAGACACAGAGAGAGAGAGAGAGACAAAGAGAGAGAGAGAGAGAGAAAGAGAGACAAAGAGGGAGAGACAAAGAGAGAGAGAGAGAGAGACA